CCCATAAAAAACCAAAGTCTGTGAGGTAACAAGACCCACTCTGTGGGAGTCCATTCAGCTTTTAGGGAAGCTCCTGAGAAATGGGATCCCATCTCATCCCAAACACTCGACTCGTGCTCTCTGTGGCAAAGGGCTGCAGGATCTCGCCCGCGTGGCTACACGGCGGCACTCGGGATGTTTTTCTTCCTGCAATCCTTTTGTCAGGAAAGGGGCAGCCCTTCAGCCTCCAAGGTCAGCCCAGGAAAAGGGCCTGCTTCCCAGACATGTGGTACTCATTTGCTTGGAATTTTTGACACCACTTATTACAATCCAGCGCAGCTGCAAGTTCCCAGGCTCTTGGTTTTGGGGTTGGATTGAATGGTAAGAGAGGAATGCCCCAACTTCTCCCTGGAATCTTAAAACACAGCTTGCATGCAGAGTGGGGTGCGCAGAGGATACATTTAAGATTTAACAGATCCTGCATCATTATGGTTGGCCTTTATAGCTTCAGGAAAACAGCCTCAGTGTGTTGGAGTCCCCGAGAACGGGTTGGTGGTGCTGCTGGCCGGCTGCACCTGGGCTTTGCCAGAGTTCTCCGCGTTATTTATGGCTCATGGGCTGCACCGTGCGTGACCCAGGTTCTGTCGGCACAGATGTTGGGGCTGGGGTGGATTCCGTGGATGGAGTCGGAGAAGGGGACTCGCAGCTCAGCGTTAGTCAGCTACAACAAATGCAAAGACTGGAAGAGCAGGTTCTGGTTTCTTACCTTCTGCTGTAATAGCAGGAGCGGTGTAACCGTATGATTAACAGCGAGAGTCCAAACGTAGCAGGATAATAAATACTGAAAATTCAAAGGAAACCTCAGCTTCTGGCAATTACAGAGTTTGTGCAGCAGAGAGATGAAGCTTCTGACTTCAGTGTTATTTGTGACCTATTTGGAACTGAAATGTTGCAAGAGACTGTTTGTTTAATACTCAGTTGCTGGTTGTTTTTTCGAGTTACACCGTATTCAGGTTAAATACAATCCTTTGAACAGGGACTGATAGATAAACATTCTCCTCAGAAAATTCCATCAGATCTTGCTGTCTTAATTTGTACTGCCAGCAAGTGCTCAATGTGTTCCTTCTTTTTCCATTGCAAAAACCCCTGCCCCAAACCTCCGTAACCTTTCTTATCATGTATCCAATATTTTATAGAGCAATCACAAAGGGTAGCAAATTGAGTAAAACATACTATCCTTGGCAGGATTTCCCTTATGACTAAATCCAATATGAACAAAGAGGACAAGGGCAAATAACTTCACTTATTCAGGTCATTTTTCATAAGAATCATAAAAATTAGATAGAAAAGGCCTATTAGATTATCTCTCATCTCTTCCATTTTGCCAGTTCTGGCTTGTTCTCTACAGTAACCTTGTGAAATTTTACTTGTCCAAATGGAAGAAAGATAATTTTCCTTCTGTTTTGTTTTTTTTTATTTTCTTTTGAGCAGAAAAGGATGGATGGTTTTTCCATCTGGGCTAGAATATACTTCTTGTGCTCCTAAAAGGCTCGTTTTTAATTTCCACAACTGTCTCCTCTTCAAAAGTTTTACGTTCCTCTTTTTGGGCACGGTGATCTTATCGTGAGGCGTTTCCTAAGCTTGGGCCCATGTCTTTAATTCCACCCCATTATTCCAGTTATTCAAGTATTGGAATAACCCTGAGGCCATCTGTAACAATTTCACCCCATTGTGTTTCTGCCCTTCAAGTGCTCGCCAGGATTAATGTACCAACAACAACAGATTGTTCTTGCTGTATAGTGGGAAATGTTTATAAATGCTCTTCAGATTAAAATAATTTAAAATCCTCTTAAAAAGATATTTCTCCCCTCTGCCCCCCACCAAGAGAACTGCCAGGGAAGTATATATGAGATGACTCAAACCACCCAAAACAATAAAAACAAAGTCCCTTACAATGGTGAAGGACCATGAAGAGTTGGAGAGAAGCTGTCAGTGCAGCAGCTCTAGAGCTTGTGTTTAACTCCACACGTGTGGTTTAATTTCTCAAAAGCTGAAGAAAGCAGTGGAGGATTTTTGATATTTGTTGTTCTAAATTAAAGTTGTATCAGTGTCCAAAAAATGCTAAAATGAATATGGGTTTGGAAGGAGTTAATGTTTAAGGAGTGTGTGTGCTTATCTGCTGCTGAAAGGTCACTGAGTAAATTCTTCAATGATCCCAGTGTTGTGGGGATGCTGCTGAAATGACAGATCTTGTTCTGTTTCCAAAAAAAAAAAACAAAAAAAAACCAACAACTGGATGGGGACTCTGGAGCAAATGGGGATGTGTCTCATGTTGCTGGGAAATAGCTAATCATTTAATCATGTCATAGAATCCCAGAATGGTTTGGTTTGAGAGGGACCTTAAAGCCCATCCAGTGCCACCCCCTGCCATGGGCAGGGACACCTCCTAGTATCCCAGGTTGCTCCAAGCCCCATTCAGCCTGGCCTGGAGAAATTCCAGGGATCCAGGGGCAGCCACAGCTGCTCTAGGTACCCTGTGCCAGGGCTTTCCCCACTCTCACAGAGAACAATTCCTTCCCAGTATCCTACCTATCCCTGCCCTCTGGCAGTGGGAAGCCATTCCCTGAGTCCTGTCCTTCCAGGCCCTTATAAATAGTCTTTCTCCATCTTTCTTATTGGCTCCTCCAGGCACTCAAAGGCCACACTTAGGGAAGTGCACGTGGCCAGAGCCTGTCCACCTTGTCATCTTCCAGCACCCACAAATCCTTCTTCACAGGGTTGTTCTCAATGACTTCTCCCTGTTTGTTCTTATACTCCCATGCAGCGCAGCACTTGGCCTTGTTGAACCTCATCTCCTGCTTCTGAACCTTGTGTAGGTCCCTCTGGATGGCCCTGTCCTTCAGGAGTGTCCCCTGCACTGCTCAGCTTTCAGGAGCAGTGGTTTGATGGAGTAAAATGGTTTGGCACGGTGTTGGAGCACACACTGTGAGGTATCCTATGGATCCTATGCCAGCAGGTCTGGGACCACACACGTGTCATCTCTTCAGCACTTCACGAGTCAATTGCTAGGAGTGGAATTATTTTATTTTTTTGGAGGGGAAATAAGGGAAAGGAATGTGGCCAGCTCAGTCAGGGGGGAATTACGTGCCTTAGTCTGTTCTCATCCCAAAGGAGTCTCAGCATCCAGGACTTGGACCTCCCCAGCGTCTGCTGGGTTCCTGAATTACTGTAGACTCCTGGGTGACGTTAGGGAAATCAGGCAAGTCTATAATTCATGAACGGGAGATATATTGAATGTGACAGGGAAAACAAAGAGAAATTAGGATCCACAGAACGAGCATTTGTGACAGCAACAGAGGATTCTTGGAAGCTGGTTGTGGATCTTAGTGGGACCGATGTGCTGCTGTAATAAAGGGAAATAAACCTTCAATATATAATAAGGTGGCTTTTTTTGAGAATTGATTTTTGATACATGTATTTGGTTATATTTTAGTCTCCTAAATAGTCTCTCTAAAATAGGATCTCCTTGTCATGACATATAAGAAAAGAACGTTATATGCTTAAAAACATCCATACTAGCCCTACTTCTGTCTCTGTGGCCACATCTCATGTGTTGATGTCACTCCTGGGCATCCTGCATCCTGATCCCTGTGTGGGAACACAGATCTGAGGGATGCTGTCCCTGTTCTCAGTGGTTTTACGTTGTGAACTTTGTCTGCCTTTTAAAATGGAAGAGGGGACTACAGTCCATGGCAACACACAGGGATTTTACTTAAAAATATTCCTGTTTTAGGAGAGTGGTTTCATTGCAAAATAAAACTGGCATCTTTTTTCTCTATTCTCCATAAAATCCATGGATGGGAGAGTGGCCATGTACAGACTTGCTGTACATTAATTTTGTTTGTAAAAATGCTGTAATTATACAGCTCTCCTGCCAATTTGGCACATGAAGACAAGTAAAATCCCAAGCGGAATGCTTTCCCCATGAAAAGTCTTTCTGTAGGGTTTTTTCCTCCCTTAGCTTGAACATAATAACCTGATTGGCAAACCATTTAAAAAATGAATTGCAGGGCTTCCAGCATGAAATGATTGGCTCCATAGGAGTTACGGCTTTTGCATACGTGGGGGAAAAATCCAACTGTGCCACTGAGATCCGCTGGGATGTCCTCTTGGAGAGCCTGCCAGGCTGCAGTGACCTGGAATGCATCCAGCTGGTGCGTCACCCCTGCTACCAGCTCTGCATTTCTTCAGCTTTTAACTCAATTCCTGCTCTCAGTGGCAGCTGTTTAATTCTTCTGCCAGAGATAGCTTCAGGAGGGGAAAATAAAAAAAAAACAAACCAAACTGCAAATAGAGGAATTGTTTGGAATATTGGGTCTAAACATAGATGGTGGTGATGGCTGGTTCCATTTTTAGCTTCCTAAAGAAACGAGGCTTATCCAGTAGTGACATCTGCTCGTTGGCTGCTTCTTCAGAGGTTGTGAGTGCAAGGGTCAACTTCAGCCACATTTTGATTAAAAACCAAGTTTTGCTCCAGGTTTTGGTGCTTGGTGGATGGGGACATTTGACTTTGGAACTCAGTGGTGATTTCTTTTTGAGCACGTGGCTGTAGGGCAGGGGGATGGAGAGGGGGTCATGCAAAGCACAGGAGCAGGAGAGGTGGAGAAGGTGTGAGCTCTGAGCTAAGGGCAAAATCAGAGCATAGAATAGCATCATGAGGGCAGAGAATAAAAGTCATGGCAAAACCAGGTTGTGCTAGCTCCCCGTTTCAAAGAGCAGGTAGGCTACGAGCGGCCTACCCTAGGTGGGCTCCCACCAGGGGATGTCCTCTCCTACCCTGTTCCCGCCTCTCCTTGTGCTGCCATGACCATTTGTGGGTCACTAAGGCTTAGGGAACGTTTTTGGCCGTGTTATTTGGAGCTTGGATGAGCTTAAGGCGGCCGTGAGAGCGAAGGCCGGCCAGAAGCCCGTCTGAGGCGTGAGCGGCTCCTCGCGGCCCACAAAGCTGCTTTGCCTTAAGGAGCCCGGCTCCGGGCAGGATTATCCGGCTGCCTGGGAGAGTGCAGCGCGAGCCAAGTGGGCATGGAAGTGTCTCTGGGAGGAGGAGAAGCACCTCAGTGTCACCCTCAGTGCCTGAGCAAAGGTGAGATAGCGAGCTTTTCAGCTCCAGTCCTCAGGGTTTCTCTGCTGCTTTAGGATCAAAGCGGCTCGTTTGGTTGGAAGGGGCCTGTGGGATCATCCAGGTCTCCTGGCTGCCCAAATTCACGGCGTGTTCTCAAGGGCATTGGCCGGGGGCTGCAGGCAGGCTTGAGGCATTGACCACCTCTGCAGGAAGCCACTTCCAGTGTTTGATCACCCTCTTGGTAAAGAAATACTTCCAAATATCTGTCCGAAAGTGGCCGGTGGGACAGTCCTGCCTTGCCTCCCAGGCTGTGGTTTGCCCTCCCTGCTGGCTTCAGCTGACCAGCACCCCCAGTTCCTGCCTGCAAAGCCCCTCTCCAGGCACTCCTGTCTATGGATTTGGGTGGATTTGTGCAAACATCTGCTGGACCATGGCTGGTGAAGGCCACGTTCTGCTGGGAAGGCTTTGTGGCCGTGTATTCCCAGTGGGAAACCATCAAGGCCGTGTCTTTGGGAATTGTACCAACCTGGAGAATAAAAGCTGCAGCATTACTTTTGGAGAGGACTTTGCCCCATGTGGGATCTGGCAGAAGCATTTCAGGATTTAGTGATGAGGAAATGCTCTGGCTGCAGAGCTCTTTAGGTCGCCCTCCCAGAGTCTGTGGGGAGCTCTTGGCCGAGGGAAGTAAACTGGTGACCTGGAAAAAGAAAATGAAGGAAACAAGATTAGTCTGCTCGACAGGGAATGCCATCCTGGGATTTATTTTGATTCCTGTCAAAGTAGCAGCCTGAAAGACTTTATGCAGGGAAAAAATGTGTTTTGTAATTGGAGAGAAAAAAATGCATACTTTTGAGACATATATGTATATATATGTAAAAAATATAGAGATTGGTTCCTGGGTGGAAGCTCTGGGAGTGCTTTAGAGAGGCTACTCTGCATTATATCCTTTATTTAGCAACTGTCATGCCCGTTTGTAGGATCTGTAGTGATAGAACCTGTCCTGGGAAACGTCTGAAATCCGAAATCATGAAATATTTAGTGGAGTGTTCGCTGCTAATGGGCTCCAGCCCTGCGCCAGCACCACAGGATCAGTAACAAAAGGCTCTGTGTACCAGTGCCAAGCTGCCTGAGACTGCTCTGAGTTTTGTTCAAGTCTTATTTCAGGTTTTATCAAAAGCAAAATCTGAGTCCAGCAAGGCAGGGTTTGGTTGGTTGAAACCAGCAAAAGCTTGTTTTATTTTCCTTGCTCAGAGGAAACCTGGGATATGTCATGTGTGGCATACACAGAAGTGAGTTATTTTTTTTCAGCAGTAGATAAATTGATGTGAGAAAAAATACACAGTATTGATTTTCCTTTTCCTGTGGCTTTTGAGAGGTTGTTAATGCAGCAAGTACACAAGAGCACTCATATGTCTGTCTGCACAGTAATCGCTAATAAATTGACTTTCTTAAAAACAATTTTTAGTCTGTAGTTTCAGTGACTTGATTTGTGGAGTAGATGATATCTCCTGGCACATAATTACTCATTTTTGGGCCGTGTAAAAGGGGGGAGGATAAATTTTCCTGCATTATCTGTAGCACTGAACATCCCTCCTATTACTCATACAGGTTTTTTCTCTGTGTCTTCTTCCTTACTGTAGCTGAGCAAAGAGGTTTTTAAGGATCTGAGGCTTTTTTCAATGTTAAAATTTACAGTACAGACACTTTCTAGAGCTAATTCTTGTGCATTCTGACGCAGCAGTGGTCATGATTGTGACAAGGACAATGATTTATACTCAGGACCAACAATTTATTTCTCTCAGTGTCTCCAGAGTGACTGCAGAGAACTTGTTTTCCTTTGGGAAAAAAAAACCCAAACCTGCAGTAGGACCCATGGTGATAATCATATTAACAGCACAGTGAGGGCAATTTGATGACATTTGATGGATGTGACATGCAAGGCTGTGTCAGTCTGCTGGTGGTGATGATCTGAGCATGCTGAGGAAGGCACTGGGTAGGAGCTGACCCATGGAGTGGGATGAGGTCTTGGTCTGTGCTTGGGGAATTGTGGTATCTGTCCAATGGAAGCATTTCTGGTCCTGATGCAGAGGTGGGCATGTGGTGATGCTCAGGAATCACTGGTGTTCACGGACACTTTGGTGCTGCTCTTTGTTCTTGCTGCTCTGGGCTTGCAGTCAAAATTTGGTGGTCATTAATATTTTCTTCCCATTATCCAGTGCAGGATTGCATTGTGTCCAATTTCTCCTGGATATGGTCTACACAATCAGTGTTATCTGGGATTTGTTGTCCCAGAGGTTTTGTTCTAAAGCCTTGTAGGTTGCCATGGTGGCACAGGGACCACATTGTCACTGTTATGAGAAGAGACAGACATCGATTACGCTGCTTGAGGTGATTTATTCCCAATAACTCCTTGACTTGGCAGTCATCTGGTGATCTCAGTTCTCATGACAGTGATCCTTCTTCAATATCGTTCCTGACAGGATTTTCCTGATTATTCCCTTGGGCTTTGCTGTTGTTCTAATGTCCCACATGTTTTTAACCACTTTTCTTGTTTTTGGTCTCCCTTCCCATGGTGGTTCTCAAGGTCCTGCCAAATCATTGATCTCCACTCAGAAACCTTTTTATGGAGGAACAGTGAGTCTGTGAAGGAACAGAGACTTGTTGTGAGGTACAAAGTGAAATTTAGGACTTGTAATTCTTGCACATTCACAGGGTTGCTTTCCCCCCCCCTCCACTTTGTCCTGTTTACAGCGCAAATGGTTTCTGCAGGAGGGCCATGGACATCTGTGTGTTTGGCTGCTTATTGCAGAAGGCTTTTAGTGGGTCAAGGAAGCACATGGAGGGGAGCTTTTGGAGTGGCCTGTGAAATGATTTTGCTTAGCTTTGTTTTAGCACTCCTTGCACAAACCTCTGCTCCCTCCCCTTGGGTCGCAGCTTTCCAAGCTGTGCCAGCAAAAGCAGAGTCAGGCTCTGCTAAACTCAAATAAAGCATGGAGCACTTTTAATTCGCATTTGTGCAGAGGTGCTTAATTACAAACACCTCTCGTCCTGCCACGGTACTCCTGGTAGATCCTTGATTGCTCCCAATAAGGAGCTGAGCAGCTTTGAGGGTGGATGCCATTCCCTTAGATTTAGGAAGGTTTTCCACATCCCTAGGAGTGGTGAAAGTCAGTGGTTTGATGTTCAAAGCACTGGTTATTACAGGATATAATCATGGAATCGCAGAATATCCCGAGTTGAAAGGTGTCTTGGGTTGCACTGCAAGATGTAACCACAAGTCTGTATTCTGTTAGCAGCTGTTAAAACCAGGTGGGGCAGTGTTCTTTATCTCTCCCACCACCCATCCTCCCTCCAGGGGGAAATCTTCTGTTCATGGGCCATTGAGTCTCACTGCATGACTGATAAACTTCCATCATCCCACTGGGACATGCTGCACCCAGGGGGAGGAGCCGAGCATTCCTACCTGGATATAATCTGAGATTTGGAACACCACAGTCAGCCTTTCTCCACTGGATTCCCAGAGGAAACCATGACCCACCTCCAGCAGCCCTGGAGCTTCAGAGGAAAACTGCAGCCTTTGTGCAGGATCATTGCTTCAGCAGAGCCCATCTGTCAGTGCAGGAGGACTGCAGGCACCATTTAGTGAGAGTGCTAGCAACACGTGCCCAACAGGGTGTCAGGTTGTATCCTGACTCTGTCAGTGGTTTTTGTACTACTGCATTGTATTTTAATGTTCTTAGGAAAGAACTGTTATTCTTACTCCCATATCTTAGCCTGAGAGCCTCTTAATTTCAAATTTATAATAGTTTGGGGGGGAAGTTTACATTTTTCCATTTCAAGGGAGGTTCCTGCCTTCCTTAGCAGACACCTGTTTTTTCAGATCAAGACAGAAGAATCATTGTGTCCAAATCCTGGCCATGCTCAACATAACCCCAAGGATCCCACCATGAATCCCACCCCAAGGATGTGTGTGAACCCTCCCCCAGGGTTCACACAGACCAACACTTCTAAATTCTGTCTCTCCAGGATTTGGTAGGTGGGGTAGCATGCACCATCTGTAAACCCATGGATGAATTGGAAGGAAAGCTTAAGGTGAGGCAACAAAACAACCCCAAACATGAGCCATTGCCTGAGGAAACACGGGAATCCCCATTAGAAAGATTTAGAAAACACATCTGCCAGGAGTTTGGCTCTTGGAATTCCATCAGGGAAGTCCCTCTTTATTTTCTTCTAAAGATAAAAAAAACCCAAAACAAAACACCAAAAAACCCACCAAAACCCATCCTGAAAATGCATTGCACATCTGTATTATTTAAATGCCTAGAACTGGACATCCTCTTGCAGTGCACCCATATCCTCTCAAGAGATGGTCCCAGGATATTCCAGGTCCTATTTTGGACATGCAAGCCTTAGATCCAACTTGGAATTTGCCAGGGAAGTATTTTCTACTGAAATACAAATATCCCCTTCTCACCCCCTCAAGAAATATTAAAACCTGTTTGGAGGAGTGAAAATGCAGTACAACATTTAGTTATAAATTGAAGATTTCCAAGCTATGTTGACTTAGAGCATCTGTTAGTGAAACACGTCTGCTCTGCAGACAGTTTTTGTACTTGTGCTGTGCAAGCACATTTCAAACAAGCACAGCAAATGTGCTGCTGAGAACAATCCAGCGGTGCTGCTTGGGTCATTTAGATGACTTAATAGGTCTTTTCTTTTTCCTTGCTATCTGTGTTAAATCAATGATTCATATAAATTATGCCGAAGGGAGTTAATTGTTATTGCATGGTATAAAAAGCTGCCAAACTAAGGGCAAAACTCTGATTGCAGTGCATGGAATAAAATGGAGCTGTGTTCTGATTGCTGAAAGCATAAAATGGCTGAACCTGTCACCCTTACCAAAAACAGCCTGGACTGGAATTCCTGCGGAAACAGCAGCAGCAAAGGAATTGTAGAGGCAAAGGTTTGGTGCCTGTGGTGTGTTTGGAGGTTTTGGTACATTTGGATGTTCTCCAGAACAC